AACCTCTGCCTCCCAGGTTCAAGCAATTTTTCTGCCTCAGCCTCCCAAGTAGCTAGGACTAGGTGCACACCACCACACCCTGCTAATTTTTATATTTTTAGTAGAGATGTGGTTTCATCATGCTGGCCAGGCTGGTCTCGAACTCCTGACTTCAGGTGATCCACCCGCCTCGGCCTCCCATAGCGCTGGGGTTACAGGTGGGAGCCACTACGCCGGCCTCTTTGCATTTTTTGGTTTTTCTCAATTCTTAGAGAAGCCCTGGAAAAAACTCATGTGTTTAGTACCTAATGCGTGGCAGGCCCCACGGAGGAGACATCACACACCTTCTCATTTAATCCCTCGAAACCGCCCTGCAAGGTCAGCCTCGTCTCACACCGTGAGGCTCAGCACAGCCAAGGCAGCGCGCCCAAAGTCACACCCGCAGGATGGGGACTGAACTCAGGGGCATTCAGTGCCTGCGCTGTTTTTAGCCTTCCCTTGCCTGAGTATGGCCCTGTATCTATCTGGAGGGATTGGAACCTGTGCAGACACCACACACCTGTCCTCTCCGAGCGGCCAGGCCCCCTGTACCTGTGCAGGCACCACACACCTGTCCTCTCCGAGCGGCCAGGCCCCCTGTACCTGTGCAGGCACCACACACCTGTCCTCTCCGGCAGCCAGGCCCCCTGTACCTGTGCAGGCACCACACACCTGTCCTCTCAGTGGCCAGGCCCCTGTACCTGTGCAGGCACCACACACCTGTCCTCTCCGAGCGACCAGGCCCCCTGTATCTGTCCGGAGGGACCAGGCCCCCTGTATCTGTCCGGAGGGATTGGAACCTGTGCAGACACCACACACCTGTTCTTTCCGAGCGGCCAGGTCCCCTGACTGTGGCGGGGCTGTCCGTGTGACTGTGGGTCCTCTGTCTCTCCACAGGAAGAGGTGTATGGTGCTACCATCCAGCATTTGGTGGAAGGTGTCATCTCTGGGTACAACGCGACGGTGTTTGCCTGTGGCCCCTCAGGTACCATCAAGGGCAGTGTCCCAGGAGTAATCGGGGACTGTGACAGCAGGGTCTCGCTCTGTCGCCCAACTGGAGCGCAGTGGCATAGTCACAGCTCACTGAAAACCTCGACCTCCTGGGCCCAAGCGATCCTCCCACCTCAGCCTCCCAAGTAGCTGGGACTGCAGGCGTGTGCCACTGTACCTGGTTGACTTTTGTATTTTTTGTAGAGACTCACTCTTGTCAGGCTGGAGTGCAATGGCATGATCTCAGCTCACTGCAACCTCTGCCTCCTGGGTTCAAGCTATTCTCTTGCCTCAGCCTCCTGAGTAGCTGGAATTACAGGCATGCACCACCACGCCCAGCTAATTTTTGTATTTTTAGTATAGATAGGGTTTCACCATGTTGGCCAGGTTGGTCTCGAACTCCTGACCTCAGGTGATCCACCCACCTCAGCCTCCCAAAGTGCTCCCAAAGCATGAGCCACTGCACCGGCTTTTTTTTTAAAAAAAAAAAAAAAAAAAAAAGAAACAGGGTCTCTCCCTGTAGTCCAGGCTGGAGTGCAGTGGTGCAATCATAGCTCACTGCAGCCTCCAACTCTTGGACTCATGGGATCCTCCACCTCAGTCTTCTGAGAAGCTGGGACTACAGGCATGCAGCAATATAATATGTCCAGCTTTTTAATATACACACACACACACACACACACACACACACACACACATACATACACATACACACATACACACACACATACACACACGTACATACGCACACACATACACACATACACACACATACACACACACACACACATACACACACACATACACACACATACACACACACATACACACACACATACACATACACACACATACACACACACATACACACATACACACATACACAGACAAACCTGGGCAACAAAGTGAGACCCTACCGCTACAAATTTTTGTTTTAATTTAAAAATATATTAGCTGGGCTGGGCACAGTGGCTCACGCCTGTAACCCCAGCACTTTGGGAGGCTGGAGTCCTGCCATGCAGGGTGTGGAGCCAACAGCAGCTTGTACAGCTGGCAGTGGCTGAGGACAGGAACTTCAGGCTCTGGTTGGCTGCCTGAGGCCTTTTGCCTGCACCACAGTGGGCCCAGAAGAGTCAGATTTTACAGCCTCAGGGGCAACCCTCCTTCCAAAGGCCGGGAGGCAGTAGATTAAAAAATAGCCAGGCCAGGCGTGCTGTCTCATGCCTGTAATCCCAGCACTTTGGGAGGCTGAGGCAAGCAGATCACCTGATGTCAGGAGTTTGAGACCAGCCTGGCCAACATGGTGAAAACCCACCTCTACTAAAAATGCAAAAATTAGCCGGATGTGGTGGTGGGCACCTGTCATTCCAGCTACTCAGGAGGCTGAGGCATGAGAATAGCTTGAATCCAGGGGGTGGAGGTTGCAGTGAGCTGAGATCATACCACTGTACTCCAGTCTGGGCAATACAGCAAGACTCAGTCAAAAAACAAAACAAAACAAAACAAAAACAAACAAAAAAACCCAAAACAAACAACAACATAACCCAGCCAGGAATATTTGGAGCTCTGGCGGGACCATTCCAAGGGGGTGATCCACATAGTCTCCCGTAGCCCCAGCAGTCCCCTGTTCCCTAGCTGCACCCTACACTGGCTTTTCATGGTGCCACTCCCACATGGAGCTTCCCCAGTAAACTATCTCTGAGTCTGCTTTTGGGGAGCCCACGCTGAGACAGGAGGTCTTCGAGGAGGACCCTCTGTTCCAGGGGAGGCAGCCTGGTGCCTCCAGGGGACACTAAGAGCTTTAAGTACATCCAAGAGGTCACACTGTGAGCAGAAATTTATGCTGAGTTTCGCAGTCTGGGTAGAAATAGCGCTTCCAGTTTTCCTTCCCCCACATGCTTAGAATTGTCTTGGGCTACTGCTCAGAATCAGTGGAGGATTACCCAGTGCCGAGGCAAGAGACTGAAGGCACACACTGTTTCAGTATAATACAGAAAATAGTTAGAATAAGAATAATCATAATACAAATTAGATATAGAGATGATCAGGGACAATTATCAATCATTATTATAAACATTATTGGCTGGGCGCGGTGGCTCAAGCCTGTAATCCCAGCACTTTGGGAGGCTGAGACGGGCGGATTACAAGGTCAGGAGATCGAGATCATCCTGGCTAATACGGTGAAACCCCGTCTCTACTAAAAAATACGAAAAACTAGCCAGGCGAGGTGTCGGGCACCTGTAGTCCCAGCTACTCGGGAGGCTGAGGCAGGAGAATGGCGTAAACCTGGGAGGCAGAGCTTGCAGTGAGCTGAGATCCGGCCACTGCACTCCAGCCTGGGTGACAGAGCGAGACTCCATCTCAAAAAAATAAATTAAAAAAATAAATAAACAAACATTATTAATCATTCGCTTTTAACATGACTCTGTTGCATTACTGATATAACCTAGGAATAGCCGGCGGGTATAGGGTCAGGTGCTGAAGGGACATTGTGAGAAGTGACCTAGAAGGCAAGAGGTGAGCCCTCTGTCACGCCCGCATAAGGGCCGCGTGAGGGCTCCTTGGTCAAGTGGTAACGCCAGTGTCTGGGAAGGCCCCCGTTACTTAGCAGACCGCAAAAGGGAGTCTCCTTTCCTTGCAGGAGTCAGGGAACACTCTGTTCCACCAGCTTCTTGTGTATTTGTAGTAGAGACAGGGTTTCACTATGTTGGCCAGGCTGGTCTCGAACTCTTGACCTCAGGTGATCTACCCGCTTCAGCCTCCCAAAATGCTGGGATTACAGGTATAAGCCACCAGACCCGGCCTCCCCTGGGTTCAAGACACAAACATCCAGTGGTCTCCTGATAAGTGTGATGTCCTGTGGGTGTCTCTAACTCAGCACATACACCACCAAGTTCATGAAGTTTCCTCCCCAAAACCATTCTCCTCTGTGGTCTCCTATTTCTCACGTGGTACAACCATCCACTCCACTGGCCGCCCAGAAATCGGGTTATCACCCCAGCTCCTCTCCCTTCCTCCTTCAGCTGATCCCTAAACCTGCCCTATCCATTCTAGCTGCCGTCTCCCCACTCTCTATCAGCTTGGTCCTCTTCCTGTACCACTGCATAAACCTAAGTCACCATCACCTCCATGGGGACCACAGCAGCACCTGCAGCCCCTCTCTGGGTGCAAACCTGGTAGGTGCTAGCACTTTGCACATCTCTGATCACATGCATGGCCATGGCAGTGGGAGGGACAATTATTTCAAGCATTATGCAGAGAAGGAAATGGAAGTCCCAGGTCATGCAGTGGCTGAGTAACGGTCCTGGGTTCCCACCACCTCCCTCTTACCTGACACTGCACGAAAGAATGCAGCCAAGAAAGACAGGGATGGGGTGGGGAGGAGTGAGCTCACGGTGAATCAGGAGGGCTCCTCAGTCCATTCTCTTGGTTGTTTTTATCTTATCTTATCTTATCTTATCTTATCTTATCTTATCTTATCTTATCTTATCTTATCTTATCGGTTTTTGTACGGACAGGGTCTCATCTTATTACCCAGGCTGGTCTGGAACTCCTGAGTGCAAATGATCCTCCTGTCTTGGCCTTCCAAAGTGCTGGAATCACAGGTGTGAGCCACCATGCCTGGTCCTCTTGGATTTGCTTTCCTTTTATTTTTTTGAGACAGATCTCACTCTGTCGCCCAGGCTGGAGTGCAGTGGCACGATCTTGGCTCACTGTAAGCTTCACCTCCTGGGTTCACGCCATTCTCCTGCCTCAGCCTCCCAAGTAGCTGGGATTACAGATGCTCGCCACCACACCTGGCTAATTTTTGTATTTTTAGTAGAGACAGGGTTTCATCATGTTGGTCAGGCTGGTCCTGAACTGCTGACCTCAGGTGATCCGCCCACCTCGGCCTCCCAAAGTGTTGGGATTACAGGTGTGAGCCACTGTGCCTGGTCCCTCTTGGATTTTCATATCATCTACATGGTTAATTGAATTTTCAATTCACAGACCTTGTTTTGTTTGGTTTTCATATCCTGTTGATGGTGCTTATATGGGTCCCAGGGCTAGAGGTCATCAGGATCTCCCAGCAGCAGCCTGGCCAGCATAGTGAGACCCCCATCTCTACAAAAAAAAAAAGAAAAATAAATTAGCAAGGCATGATGGTGTGCACCTGTAGTCCCAGCTACTCAGGAGGCTGAGGCAGGAGGACTGCTTAAGCCCAGGAGGCTGAGGCTGCAGTAAGCCATGATGGTACCACTGCACACTCCAGCTTAGATGACAGAGCAAGACGTTGTCTCTTAAAAAGACAAAAAAAAAAAAAAAAAAAAAAACCTCCCAGAACTTCATAGCTACTACTATTAGTAGCAGCTGATGTTTCCTGGCTGATCGCTTGCCTAAGCCACAGTTACTTCTATTTTTCCTCTGCTGCAACCCTGGTTATGAAACCAGAAATAGTTGTAGCTGGTAGAGACACTGAAATACCTCAAAGTAAAATCCAGAGGCTGGGCCAGGCTGTGGTCAGCCCGGGGGAGACCACAGCCATTGCAGAGGGGCCCAGGGTCCCTGAAGGTGGGTGGCAGCCAACGGAGCTGCTGGGTGGGGAGGGATGGGCAGCCAGCTTGAAGGAGCCTGGAGCCCAGAAGAGGAAGAGATGAAAACCATCACAGAGAGGTGTCTCCAGGGCCGAGCTGAGGCCCTGGCCAAGGAAGTCACGAGACTGTAGCGTGGCTCCATCTTTGGGGCCCACAATTTGGATTCAGGTCCTGGCTCTGTCACTTACACAGCTCTGTGTCTCTGGCTAGTTGGTTACCTTCTCTGGTCCCCTGCTTCCTTATCTGTAAACCAGGAGATAAGGTACAGCCACTGCAGAGTGGGTAAGCAAAAGGTATCTGCATGTTGCTGATACAACAGGTGAAGTTGACATAAGGTAAAAGTAACCATTTTAAAGTGAACATTTAGGACACATTCACAATGTTGCTGATGTAACAGGTGAAGCTGAAGTAACACAACAGTAGCCATTTTAAAATGAACAATTCAAGGGTATTTAGTGTATTCAAAATGTTGCTGATGTAACAGGTGAAATTGACATAACACAAAAGTAACAATTTTATTTAATTAATTAATTATTTTTGAGACAGAGTCTCACTCTGTCACCCGGGCTAGGGTGCAGTGGCATGATTTCCACCTCCAGCCTCCACCTCTCAGGTTTTTGTTTGTTTCTCTGTTTTGAGATGGAGTCTTACTTTGTTGCCCAGGCTAAAGCAACCTCCAACTCCTGAGTTCAAGCGATTCTCCCGCCTCAGCCTCCCGCGTAGCTGGGATTACAGGTGCCCGACACCACACACAGCTAATGTTTTGTATTTTTAGTAAAGACGGGGTTTCATCATGTGTTGGCCAGGTTGATCTCGAACTCCTGACCTCGTGATCTGCCCGCCTCAGCCTCCTAAAGCACTGGGATTACAGGTGTGAGCCACCAAGCTCAGCTGACCTCTCAGGTTTAAGCGATTCTCCCACCTCAGCCTCCCGAGTAGCTGGGATTGCAGGCGCCCGCCAACACACCTGGCTAATTTTTGTATTTTAATTTTTAGTAGAGACAGGTTTCACCATGTTGGCCAGGCTGGTCTTGAACTCCTGACCTCGGGTGATACCCACCCACCTTGGCCTCCTGGAAGTGCTGGGATTACAGGCATGAGCCACCGCGCCCGGCCTGGCTTTTGTTTTGAAAGTGGGAGAGGCCTGATACTGTTTAAATCTAAAGAGAAGAGGCTGGGTCATGCCTGTAATCCCAGCATTTTGGGAAGCCGAGGCAGGAAGATTGCTTGAGCCCAGGAGTTGCAGACCAGCCTGGGCAACATGGCAAGATGCCATCTCTACAAAAAATACAAAAATTAGCCTGGTGGATGGCGTATGCCTGTAGCCCCAGCTGAGGTGAGAGAATCACTTAAGTCCAGGAGATCGAGGCTGCAGTGAGCCATGATCACGCCACTGCACTTCAGCCTGGGCGACAGAGTGAGATCCTGTCTCAAAACAAACAAACAGACACTAAAGGGAAGGATCCAATGGAGAGGAGACAGAGGTTGAATGTGTAAGACAGAGAAGAAAAACTGATAGTGAGAAATTTTTTTCTTTTTTGAAACAGAATTTCGCTCTTTTTGCCTAGGCTGCAGTGCAATGGCGCGATCTCGGCTCACTGAAACCTCTGCCTCCCAGGTTCATGTGATTCTCCTGTCTCAACCTCCCAAGTAGCTGGGATTACAGGCATATGCCACCATGCTCAGCTAATTTTGTATTTTTACTAGAGACGGGGTTTCACCATGTTGGCCAGGCTGGTCTTGAACTCCTGACCTCAAGTGATCCACCTGCTTCGGCCTCCCCAAGTGCTGGGATTACAGGCATGAGCCACCATGCACGACCGATAGTGAGAAATTTCTAAGCTGAGACAGGCATCATAGGGAGACATTGCCAGTGGCTGTCATCTTATTTACATACATGCAATTACATATATGTATGTATACAACATAGACATATTATACATGCATAGTTGTATATGTATGTGTATAATATATAAACATATATACTACATACATACACATAGTAGGTAACATGTATGTATTACACATACGTATAAACGTATTATCCACTGTGAGTGTGTATATAATATACACATACATTTTGTGGTGAGTGGTTGTTGCTTTTTCCCCCCACTAGAATATACGCCCCAGGAGGGCAGGGGCCTTGCCCATCTCCCTCACTTCCGGTGGGTGGGGACTCCTTTGTGATTGGCTGCAGGGAGTGGAAGAGTGAAGAGATGACCTTGGTTGGAAGGCTGCCTCGGGAGTCCATCAGAAGGGGCCGCCTAAAAATATCATGGATTGAAAAAGTTCTGGGGGCGGATGGTGGTGATGTGAATGTGCTTAATGCCACTGAAGGGTGTGATTAAAAATGGTTAAGATGGTAAATTTTATGTTATATATATTTTACCGTATTAAAAAAAAAAATCACTGGGCCTGGTGCGGTGGCTCACGCCTGTAATCCCAGACCTTTGGGAGGCTGAGGCAGGAGGATTGCTTGAGTCTAGGAGTTCAAGACCACCCTGGGCAACATAGTGAGACCCCCTCGTTTCTATTAAAAATTAAAAATTAGCCGGGTGTGGTGGCACCTGTCTGTAGTTCCAGCTACTCGGGAGGCTGAGGTGGGAGGATGACTTGAACTCAGGAGGTTGAGGCTGCAGTGAGCTGTGACTGCACCACTGCACTCCAGCCTGGGCGACACAGCGAGATCCTGTCTCTAAACAAATAAACACACACAAAACTACACTGATGCCAAGAACAATTACTGCATGCTCACTATGCATTAGGCATCTTGCTAAGCTCTTTACCCGTGTCATCTCATTTGTCTCACATACTCCTTGCAAGGCCGGGTCACTAACCTATTGTATTTTACGGATTGGAGACAACCTCAGAGAGGTTAAGTCACTTGCCCAAGGTCACACAGCGAGTCTCAAGCCCCAGCAGGTGAGCATCACGATCCTTTGCCAATGAGCCGATGCTCGAGAAAGGGTTGGGTAGACAACAGGCACTGCATAAAGGCTGGTTAACGGGACCGTGTGTGGCTGCGGCGTGAAGCTCCGGGCTTGGACGGCTAGACAGCTACGCGCCCCCGAGCCGCCGCGTGCCCGCCCTGCCGGGGCGGACTCAACGCCGCGGATTGGCCGCTGAGGAAGGGGGCGTGGCTCGGGCGGCCGGTGGGCGGGGTCGATCTCTGGCCGTAAATACGGCGCCACATGGCACTGGCTCGCGAGGGCGGGGGCGGGCTGGCGGGGCGCAGGCGCGCTGAGGGCGGGCGCCCCTCGGCCTCCGTGGCCCCTCCGGCGGCTGCGACGTCTCGCGAGAAGACGAGCGGTAGGCGGGGCTCCGGCGAGGGGGGCGGGGCCGGCGAGGGCGGCCTCTGGAGGGACCGCTAGTCGCGGGGCGGCGGCGGCGGCTGCGGGCGCGAGGTGAGGGGTGCGAGGTGAGGGGCGCGGCGGGCGGCGGGCGGCGGGCGGCGGGCTCGGGGCGCGGCCTCCCTCCCTCTCGGCCTGTGCGGGGCTCCCAGAGCCCGGGCGGTGGTCCCGGGCGGCGCTGAGGGGAGCGGGTCGGCTCTCCTTAGCCCGGCCTGGCGGACGCGTCTTGGGCCCGGGTTCGAGTCCCCGCGCCGGCGCGCTGTGTGACCTTGGCCCTGCGCGCGCCCTCTCTGAGCCCCGCTCCTCGCCCTCGGCCAGGGGGACCCGGCCCTGGGGCCCTGATCAGCGCGTTCTGCGGCCCCTCGGGGTCTGGATGAGAAATCTGTGGTTCCGATTCAGCGATGGCAGAGGCTGCAGCGGCCCCGCCGGCCCCCAGTAGTCTCCCTGCCCGGCGTCAGCCTCTGCCGCCTGGCAGGGACAGGACCGCTTCCCGGGCGTGGAATTCCAGGATCCTCAGCCCCGGAGGGTTCCCCCCGCCCCCGTGCCTGCTGTCACCTGAACGGGGCTCCCCGGCCCCCCAGACCCCCTCCTGTGCCTGCTGTCACCTGAACGGGGCTCCCCGGCCCGGCCGACCGCAGCCCTGGAGCCTGCAGACGCCAGCAGCACCGGCAGGTCGCTCAGGGTATCCCTTAAATGACCTCTTACTCCAGAAGCCGCAGCCCTGCCTCTCTGCGAGAGGAAACCGTGCATTTAGTCCGGGAACAGTGGGACTTAGACCTCCTCTGCGGGCTCCCGGCCACCGAGACACCGCCGGCAAAACCTTGGCTCGGGCAGAGGCTCCGTCTGGCAGGCAGCACAACAAGCCGTAGTGTTTCCAGCATTATTAAATTATTTAGTTCATAATCGGGGCTGTGGGGACTCGGAAACCCGGGGGTGAATAGGAATGTGGGTTGCAGGCGCCGTGCTGGACGCAGTACATCTTCCAGGACACCAGGTCCTACGGTGCTGCTCCCGGCTGTGGGTGGCTGGGGACAGCTCAGCGGGTTCCCCTCCTACCCCCACGCGGGGACGCAGGTTAGCCCCTCACCGTGAGCATCTGGGGTTGGGAGTCAGGGCTGGTGTCTGAGTGAGGACGGAGAGAAAACAGGGGTAACGAGGACATTGCTACACGAAAGTGCAACGCTTGAGATCTGAAGGAGCGCCTGCCTGGAATGGTATAGAAGTTTTATTTCCCTGCAAAGGAGTTTATGGGACTTTGGGCTGAGGCTTTGGGGCCAGCCTCAGCCCAAACTGTCTGCTGCCACTCAGCAGACTCCAGCTTTTTTATCAAACCTCCAATCGAGTGCAAAATGCCCAGCTGGGGTAGATGGCGATAATAGTGCGGGCCTTGCCCTGGGAGCTCACGGCCAGCCTGGCTACGACAGTGTGGGGTTGGGGCTGTGGTGCAGGCGTTAACAGAATGTGGAGACATTTTCCGACGTTTTCCACAGTGGAGAGGACCTATGAATTGGGCCTTTGGAGGCAAAGGGCATGCGGAGATATGGAAGTGAAAGCGATGTTTAGGGGAGATGGTGGGTCACTGTGTTCTTGGTGAGGTGGGGTTTGAGGATTGGGTTGGAAGCTAAGACCGGAAGGCCGGGCAAGGTGGCTCGTGCCTGGAGGTACAAGACTGGAGGCACTTTGGCGAGCACTTTGGGACGCTGAGGCGGGTGAATCACCTGAGGTCAGGAGTCCGAGACCAGCCTGGCCAACATGGTGAAACCCCCTCTCTACTAAAAATACAAAATTTAGCTGGGTGTGGTGGTGCACACCTGAAGTCCCAGCTGCTTGGGAGGCTGAGTCAAGAGCATCGCTTGAACCCAGAGGCAGAAGTCACAGTGAGCCGACATTGGACCACTGCACTCCAGCCTGGGCAACAGAGTGAAAGAAAGACTGTAAAGATGGATTTCTGATTGTGCAGGGGCCTGAATGCTGTGCCAGGGAGTTTAAGCTTTTATCCCTTTGGTGGTGGTTTGGGTGTGATGCGATTAGATGTGTTTCAGAAAAGTGATCCTGGTGAGAAGATGAGAGGTGGGTTTTGCCTCTGGGCAGTGGTGGAGCTGAGTTGAGTAACCTTGTGGGGCGTGGGTGTGGGACAGTGAGAGAGTGGGGGTGGGCGCGGAGCTGAAAGATGTTGCCAAATCCACTGGGGGGTGGCGCTTTGTGAGATGTGGTGACCTGTAGCAGCAAGGGCAGCCGGGACCTCTAGCCTGAGATGAGGAGCGCTGGGGCCGGGTGGGGGAGGAAGGGCCAAACACACGTGGGTTTTAGACCTGCAGGGTTGGCAGTGTTAGTGGCCATCCTGGAGATGTGACCTTGTAGAGAAGAGACAGCCTGTACAAGGAGGGAATCCCCAGGAACCCCAGTGGGAAGGGATCGAGAGCTGAAGAGAGGCCTGTTGGTTGGCTGACCTTGGGCTTGCAGTTCCTTGACGACGCACAGTCATTGAGGCTGGCGGGTGATTCTCTTCTAGAGTGGGTCTGGGGCTGAAGGAGCCATCGGTGGGAAAAGATGGGTTATTGATGATACTGAAACACATGCGGTTTGTCGTTTAAAAAAAACCTTACATCTTGAGTTTCGATTCTTGAATTGTCTTTCTCTTCAGAGAGTAGCTGTTAGTTTCATACCTACTTAGTGGGTCTGTGGCTGCCAGCAGGGCTGTAGGCCCGCAGATGTGCCTGGAGATAATTGACTCTCCAACTTATTACTTCCTGCTGTTAACCAAGGTGGTGGTTTCTGTAACTGTTTAAAACTTTGAAGATATTTCAGAGAAGAATGGGAAACAGGTACAGTTGAGTATGGGGTGGGGGCACAGTTGAGTACGGGGTGGGGGTGCGGTGCTGTACAGGGCACAGGAGGAGGAAGCGAACAGGGCCCCTTTGGCTCCCAGAACATGACCAGCTGGGACTTTTCCCTCTAGACAGGAGGATGGATGTGTCTTTGGGGAATCTGAGTAGCCCAAGAGAAAAGACTAAAATTAATGACATCAGGAGGTCCCCAGTCAGCAGGCCCAGCTGGATCCCTTGCTAACGAATTAATAACCCCCTCCCAGTGTTCAAGGCATCAAGCTTCAAAAATCCCCATCCCTTAAATATGAGCAGATAACCGAGGACATCTGAAGAAAACCTCTGCTACAGGAGATTGAGACCGGAAAACACACTGGGAAACAAGAGAGTGTACAGGAAGGAGCCTTAGAAAGCAGGCTGTCATTAATGTCCACACAGAGGTAAGAGAAAATATCGCAAACGTGAGGCAAGAACAGGAAGCTCTTAAAAAAAAGCCACCAAAAGGAGCATTCAAAGATCCAAAAAGAGAACTCTCGTATATCTATAAAAAAAAGCAGAAATAAGAAAATCAGTTAGTGGGTGAAAGATAAAGTTGAGGAACTCCCTCAGAAAGTAGAACAGAAAAGCAAGGAGGTGGCACATGAGAGAAAAAAGAAGCGGAAAGGATCAGATCAGGAAGTCGGCAGCTGAATAGTAACAGTTTCAAAGCTGAGGTGAGAGGATCGCTTGAGGCCAGGAGTTCAAGACCAGCCTGGGCAACATAGCAAGACCCCATCTCTACAACAAAATTTAAAAATTAGCCAGGTGTGGTGGTGTGCACCTGTAGTCCCAGCTACTTGGGAGGCTGAGGTGGGAGGATCACTTGAGCCCAGGAGTTTGAGGCTGCAGTGAGCTGTGATCATGCCACTGTGATCCAGCCTGGGTGACAGAGCAAGACCCCATCTCTAAAAAATAAAATAAAATACTTTTTAAAAAGTTTCCGCAAGAAAACAATAGGGAAAACAGGATGAAATTCAAAAAATAATTTCCTAAAACCCAAAGTTTCTGGGTTAAAGAGGCTGGGTGTGGTAGCTCATGCCTGTAATCCCAGCAATTTGGGAGGTAGGTGGATCACTGAGGTCAGGAGTTCAAGACCAGCCTGGCCAACATGGTGAAACCCCATCTCTATGAAAATAAAACAAATTAGCTGGGCATGGTGGCAGGCGCCTGTAATCCCATCTACTCAGGAGGCTGAGGCAAGAGAATCACTTGAACCCAGGAGGCAGAGGTTGCAGTGAGCCAAGATCTCACCACTGCACTCCAGCCTGGGTGACAGAGCAAGACTCTGTCTCAAAAAAATAAAAATAAAATAAAATAGGCCAGGCACGGTGGCTCATGACTGTAATCCCTGCACTTTGTGAGGCTGAAGTGGGCAGATCACTTGAGGTCAGGAGTTTGAGACCAGCCTGACCATCATGATGAAACCCCATCTCTACTAAAAATACAAAAATTAGCCAAGCATGATGGTGGGTGCCTGTAATCCCATACTCAGGAGGCTGAGGCTGGAGAATTGCTTGAACCCAGGAGGCAGAGGTTACAGTGAGCCCAGATCGTGCCACTGCACTCCAGCCTGGGCAATAGAATGAGACTCTGTCTCAAAAATAAAATAAAATAAGATAAGATAAGCCTGGGCAGCAGACTTGGATAGTGAGAGAGGCTGAGTTTCAGATAAACACTAGTGAGAGCTTTTGAGGGGAAGGATTTATTTGAAAGCGTGTCTGCGGCTGTTGACCCCAGAATTTGGATAGTGAGAGTTTGGAGGCCAGGTGCAGTGGCTCACGCCTGTAATCCCAGCACTTTGGGTGGCCGAGGTGGACAGATCACTTGAGGCCAGGAGTTTGAGACCAGTCTGGCCAACGCAGTGAAACCCCGTCTCTACTGCAAATACAAAATTAGCCAGGCGTGGTGGCGGGTGCCTGTAATCCCAGTTACTCAGGAGGCTGAGGCAGGAGAATTGCTTGAACCTGGGAGGCGCAGGTTGCAGTGAGCCGAGATCATGGCATTGCACTACAACCTGGGCAATGAGAGCGAGACTCCGTCCCAAAAAAAAAAAAAAGATACTTGCGTTCCCACTCCAGGACGTACTGTTGTGAAATCTCAAAACAAGAGGAAAAAGTAAAAACAAATCACAAATAGGTCATCACAGGTCAAGAGGCAGAAGGTTAGAACATGTGGAAAAAGGCAGAAGAA